ATCTGCTGGATTAATATGTAATGCTGACACCAGTGGTGAAGTCTTAAAAGTTGTTACTGACCCCTCTCTAAAGGCAAAACAAAAAACAAAGAATATTGTTGTTGAACAACCTGAACAGGACATGTCTAAGTCAAGCAGTATGGAGGTGCAGGTGATGAGGTCTGATGATCAGACTGATAAAGTGGCTGAAGAGAATGAATATGAAACTGATTCAGACTGTGTCTCTGTGGCTGGCAGTATCTCTAACACTGACAACCTGGACTCTCTGGAGGAGATTAATGAGTTCCTGGATGAAACATATGGCCGCTCAGTTGACATCAAGGAACATTTTCCTGATGTTGAAAAATTCATTAAGTCAGTCTCTATGTATCGGAAAACTGTAAGTTTGGACTTATTAGATGAAAAAAAACGTTATCGCCTAAAAAAACATGTCACATTATTAAGGAAGAATTTAACAACAGCTCGAACAAAATTGGCAAAGAAAATGAAACTTTCCAGATAACATCATGATCAAACATAATTTGCCTGTTTTTTTGTGTGCATTTGCTCTCATCTGCCTCACATCTGCTCTTTTCTCTCCTCACATGAAGGGTTTCAGGGTGGCCTCTCTAAACATAAACGGGGGAAGAGATGCACACAAGAGAGCTTTAATAACTGAAACTATTAAACAGAAAAGGTTAGATGTAGTTTTTTTGCAGGAAACTCACAGTGATGGTGGGAATGAGATAGACTGGGGTTTATGGTGGGGGGGACAATATGCCCTTAGCCATGGGACAAATTTTAGTGCTGGAGTTGCCATTTTGTTTTCTTCTGCCCTAAATATAAGAATTATCTCGTGCACTGAGTTTGTAAAGGGCAAACTCTTATTGGTGAAAGCGCAGATGGAGGATTTTATTTTTCATTTCATCAATGTCTATGCTCCCAACCAGGGCTTAGAAAGGGAGGGGCTATTTAAAACTCTGGATGCTAAATTAAAAAACATTGATTGTGGGGAAACTATTATCTTAGGTGGTGATTGGAATTGCTGCACTGATTTTAAGTTAGACAGGACTGGAGAAGAACCACACCTTCGGTCAGCACGTTTTCTGTCTCAGCTGCTGAAGAAAGCAGACCTGGTTGATGCTTGGAGAATGAAAAACCCTTCAAGCAGGCAGTATACTTGGGTTAAAGTTTCTGATGGTCAAGTTAGTGCTGCAAGGTTAGACAGGTTTTATGTCTCTGGTTCCATCATCACACGTGTTTTAAATTGTCAGATGTTTCCTGTTGGTTTCTCAGATCACCATTTAATTTCTATAGAAATTACTCTTTTATCTGCTGTGAAACAACAATCCTTTTGGCATTTTAATGTGAAATTGTTGCATGATTCTGTCTTCTGTGAAAACTTTAAGTTGTTTTGGATTAACTGGAGATCTAAGAAATGTGATTTCCCCACATTTATTCAATGGTGGGAAGTAGGAAAGGCCCAGATTAAGGTCTTTTGCCAGCAACATTCATCCGGTACCACCACCAACATTAAGAGAACTGTGCAGAAGCTGGAAGAAGAGATAAAACATCTGGAAAATGTTTCCATCTCCAAATCAACCTCACAGACTTCTCTTCAATCCAAAAGACTTGAACTGAGCTCTTTGTTACATGAGAGGGCCAAAGGAGCTTTAGTCCGGGCCCGTTTTAAAAATATACAAGAAATGGACGCACCCACGTCTTTCTTCTTCAGCTTGGAGAAGTCTGTCGCTCAGAGGAAACAAATAATCTGCCTTAAACTCCCAAATGGACAATTGACCTCAGATCCAGCTGAGCTGAGGAACCATGCTGTGGACTTTTACACGGACTTGTTCAAGCCAGTTGGCTGTGATGTGGACAGTACCGAGGAGCTTCTGCAGGGGCTTCCTTGCCTCACTCCAGAAGATCAGGAGACCCTGAACTCAAATCTAAACCTAAACGAATTGACTGCTGCTGTATCCCAGATGGCACCTGGAAAGGCTCCAGGAATAGATGGGTTACCACCAGAGTTTTTTAAACACTTTTGGGATGTTTTAGGACAAGACCTTCTGGACGTTTTTAAACAATGTTTTAATGAAGGAAAGCTCCCTGCCTCTTCTAGGCGAGCAGTTCTCTCCCTACTGCCAAAAAAGGGTGACTTGACTCTCTTAAAAAACTGGAGACCAGTTGCTCTTTTATGTACAGACTATAAGATTCTCTAAGGTTTTATCAAACAGGCTGAAACTATTTATTGAAATTTTAATTGCCCCTGATCAATCCTACTGTGTACCTGGTAGATCAATTTTAGACAACTTGTTTTTAATAAGAGATGTGTTTGAGGTATGTAAATTATATGACACTAAAATTGGTATTATATCCATTGACCAAGAAAAAGCTTTTGATCGTGTAGATCACGGTTTTCTTTTTTCAACTTTACAAGCTTTTGGTGTGGGAGAAAATTTTTTGACATGGATAAAGCTCTTGTATAGTGAGGCGTGCTGCACTGTGAAGGTAGGGGGAGGTTTGAGCTCTCCGGTACCAGTGAAAAGAGGAATCAGGCAGGGCTGTCCAATTTCAGGCCAGCTTTACAGTCTAGTCATTGAACCTCTTTTGAATAGACTGAGGAGTAGACTAAAGGGATTCTTTTTAACAAATTCAACTTTAGCCTCTCCCATTGTGGTGTCAGCATATGCTGATGATATAAATATATTTGTCCAAGGTCAGGGAGACATACAGGAGCTAAGAAAGTGTCTTACTATAAATGAAAAGGCCTCTTCAGCCAAGGTAAACTGGGGGAAAAGTAATGGATGCCTGGTTGGAAAATGGGAAGTGAGAGGGATTCCCGACCTTCCTGGCAGTCTGAGCTGGGAGAGAGTAGGTATGAAAATACTTGGGCTTTATTTGGGGACTGAGGATTACCAAAAACAGAACTGGGAGGGAGTGCTGGAGAAGGTGGAAGCCAAGTTGTCTAAATGGAAATGGTTGCTACCCCAGCTGTCCTATAGGGGAAGAGTTCTGATAGCGAATAATCTGGTCGCCTCGACTTTATGGCACAGACTTGCTGTACTGGTTCCACCTCCACATCTTCTGGAAAAGATACAAAGGCTCCTAGTGATGTTTTTCTGGTCTGGTCATCACTGGCTGAGAGCACCAATTTTGTACCTTCCAGTGGTGGAGGGGGGACAAGGACTTGTGGATACTACCTCCAGAATGGCAACCTTCAGACTACAAACAGCACAGAGACTCTTGTATGGCTGCGGTTACCGTTGGCTAGGCCTAGCCCAACTGCTACTGAGGAAGGTGGGCCGACTTGGACTGGATAAGCAGCTATTCTTAATGGAGTCCTCTAAAATGGACCTAACAGGACTTGCACCATTCTATTCTTCAGTACTCAATGCCTGGCAGACACTGAAGGTCACTCGCAACCCTGACCCTAGACCAGGAATGTGGCTTTTTGAGGAACCTTTGTTCTATAATAAAGCCATTAGTGGGTCCACACTTTCTTCCACCACCATCAGGACCAAGTTTGTTGAAGCCGGCATTATTAAACTTGGTCATCTGGTGAAGACCCCTGTGGATAGGCTTGGGAACATGACAAGCATTCAGTCTTCTAGAGTACTGAGAAAGATCATAGAAGAAGTTAAGCTATGCCTGCCTGCGCCACTGAGAGCTTTTATTGGAGACCATGCTCATGCTGACCAATGGAATAATGACACAGAGTATGTTTTTCCTTCTTTGACAGTAAGTCCTGCTTTTGAAGAGCTGCAGGAAGAGAGGGGACAGCTGTTATCTATGGAAACGCCAAAGATGGGTGTTTTTAAGTTGTGTGGAAAAAAGCAGCTCTACCTCAGTTGTGTGAAGATGCTGAACCTGCGCTCTTTGGCTGTAACTAGGGAGTCGAGGTGGACTCAGGTTTTTGCTTCAGACTGCACCCCTAAGGGCAGGTGGAGGGTCCTGTATAAGCCCCCAGTTGAAAAACGGGTGGCTGACCTTCAATGGAGGATAATACATGGACTCATAGCTACGAACAGACACAGAGCTCACTTTGACTCCAGCACTGGGGAGGGGTGCCCTTTTTGCGCCCAGACTGAGACTTTAGAACATCTTGTCCTGTCATGTCAAAGGTTAGTGGGTCTCTTTGGACTCTTAGAGGAGTGGGTGGTAGCTCTTGGGGAAGAGTTTTCTTTACCTCTCTTTATCTTTGGTCCAAAATACACTGTACGCAAGAAAAAGATCCTGACCTTAATAAATTTTCTGTTCGGGGTAGCAAAACTTGCTATATGGTTGACCAGAAAGAACCAGATGGTAGGCCGGGGCTGGACTGATGTGGTTGAGAGCTTTAAAGGGTTACTTGCAGCCCGTTTAAAAGTAGAGCATGCTTTTTACACCCTCACCAGCAATCTTAACTCGTTTAAAGACTTCTGGGGCATTAAACAGGTTTTATGTTCATTGAGGGAGGATGGTTTTTTAATTCTTACCTTTTAAGAATAATAATATTTAATGCTGGTATTCTGTAATATAATATTGGGTTTTATGTAAAGTATTTTAACTGTACACAAAAAACAAAAACAAAAAAAAAAAAAAAGTGTTTTTTTTTTTTTTTTAATGAATTAATGCCCATTTTTTTTTCTCTTTTTCTTTTCTGTTAATGATGTTTGTCATGGTTGGACCTTTTTTGATGTTGTTGTCCCCCAAATGATGTAAATAAAAGTTTTGTCAAGTCAAGTCTCATGTTGCTCTCTCTTGTCTCTCTCTCATGTCTCTTTCTTTTGTCTCTTTCTTTTGTCTCTCTCTCATGTCTCTCTCTCTTGTCTCTCTCTCGTCTCTCCCTTGTTTCTCTCCCTTGTCTCTCTCTCTTGTCTCTCTCTCTTGTATCTCTCTCTTGTCTCTCTCTCTTGTCTCTCTCTCGTCTCTCTCCCTTGTCTCTCTCCCTTGTCTCTCTCTCTTGTCTCTCTCTTGTCTCTCCCTTGTCTCTCCCTTGTCTCTCTCTCTCTTGTCTCTGTCCTGTCTTTCGTTTGCAGCTGAAAAGGTGTCTTCTCTGGGAAAGGACTGGCACAAACTGTGTCTGAAATGTGACCGCTGCAACAAGCTGCTGAACGCTGGAGGCCACGCTGAGGTCCGTACCACAGCTGCAAAGAGCAGCGCAGACACCGCTGTATCTGCAGGTTTTTATACAAAGAACATCTTTCATCCAGAGTACTTCACAAGTCAGTTTGTTCTAACAGCTGTAGCAGGTGCTGGTCATGTGACCAGTCTGCACCACACCACCTGAAAACTGGCTTAATGAGCAGATGTCAGTGTTGGAATCAGTTACATTTGATTATGTTTGATTGATTATGTTTGATTGATTATGTTTGATTGATTATGTTTGCATTTAGGAGCTCTACTACATGTGAGTGTATGTCATTGATTAGTTCTCGTATTAATACTCAGAATCAACAAGTACTCAAATATAAGTACATGTACGCTGTTTGAAAAAATGTGGTATTGTGCCATTTTAATTTTATAATAAATTGGTTTCCCAGTTTCCACTGGACTGGCAGACTGGGTGGTGGTCCCCCTCTTCAAAAAAGGAGGACTGGAGGGTGTGCTCCAGTTACAGGGGCATCGCTGTCCTTAGCCTCCCTGGTAAGGTCCTTCAGGGGTACTGGAGAAGAGAGTCCGATCAGTGGTTGAACCTCGGATTCAGCAGGTACAGTGCAGGTCCATCCTGGCCATGACCAGTTCTTTATCCTCACTGGGATCCTCGAGAGGTCGTGGGAGTTTGCCCATCAAGTCTACATGTGTTTTGGGAGTATGAAGCGGCTGGCCTGGGAATGCCTTGAGGTTCTCCCAGAAGAGCTAGAGGAGGTGGCTGGAAAGAGATGTCTGGACCTCCCTGCTGAAGATGCTGCCACCAGGACCTGACTCAAAGATGATGGATGGATGCATGCATGGATGGATGCATGCATGGATGGATGGATGCATGCATGCATGTATGGATGGATGGATGCATGCATGGATGGATGGATGCATGGATGGATGAATGCATGCATGGATGGATGGATGTATGCATGGATGGATGGATGCATGCATGGATGGATAGATGGATGGATAGATGGATGAATACATGCATGCATGCATGGATGGATGGATGGATGCATGCATGGATGGATGCATGCATGGATGGATAGATGGATGGATGGATGGATGGATGGATGGATGGATGGATGGATGGATGGATTTGTACCACCACTACACGGAGTGTTGCAGAATTGTTTTCATTGCCCCTGCTCTAAGGTCAAGGTCACAGATGAAGGTCAAAGCTTGTACAAGCTCTTTGCTGCTGTTTAGTAGTTTGTGAGTGAAGTGCCGTTTGAGCTTCTCAGATTTGAACCAGCCAACAGTTTGTGAGTCAAATTAACTTCTAAAAGAAGTTGATACGTTGGATGAACGTTTCACTGGAACCAACTCTGAGTCGTTTGTAACTAATTGATCTGTTACCATCTGCTGTGCACGTCCTGCTGTGCACGTCCTGATGTGCACGTCCTGCTGTGCACGTCCTGATGTGCACGTCCTGCTGTGCACGTCCTGATGTGCACGTCCTGATGTGCACGTCCTGATGTGCACGTCCTGCTGTGCACGTCCTGCTGTGCACGTCCTGATGTGCACGTCCTGCTGTGCACGTCCTGGACGTTGCAGATGATCTGTTTCGGCACTTGTTTACTCTTTTTAAAGTGCAGAGTCGTTAGAAAAGCAGGGTCAAAGGTCGTTGACCTCATTGAGCTCATTGATTGTTGCTCAACCTCTGCTGCTTGAGTTTGATCAGATTACATCACCTGCTTGAACCTTTTGACCCGTGCATGTTTTTGGTTGAACTCTCTAAACACTTGTGACGTATGAAGCTCGTTTTCCTTCACGGTCCTCGTGCATTTTGTGCAGGATCTTGCTGAGGTTGCTTTTCTTCTCCTGACATTTCTTTGGTGTTTGTTTTTCTCCATCTGTCAATTTGCTGCGTCCTCGTGGGACGTCAGCCCTGGAGGATGAGCTCTTCTCACATCCTTCCTCTTCTTCTTCTGTAATCAGACTGCAGCGCTGCATCTCAGCGTAGATTCCCCTGACTCTGCTCTACTCACCGTCCGGTACCCCCCTGGAGTTGTTTTATCTTTCCCTTTTGGTTTTGTCATGACCTGGCCAGTTTCCATCCTCTCTACATGCATAAACATGTATTCAAGTGTCTCCTGGCTCTCGTCAAAGATCTCAGCCTCTTTATGCTCAGAAGCAGTTTTCCCTGCAGACCCCAAAGGATGCTGGTCTTCTCTTTAATCTCTGCATGATCACAGTAGTGTAGTCGCCCTCTCTCCACCCAAGTTCTGCTCCAGTGCAGCTCTGCACCACAAAGCTACTTGAACAGGATAGAAGTCTATGCTTGACTGTCGTCATGGAAACTGAAGAAAAAAGTCAGGAGACTCTGCTGAAAGTGTGATGTCATCCCAGACCTTGAAGGCTGTGAACCTCGGACCAGCGCTGCTTCTTTAAAAGGACTCGGAGACGGTGCTGCCTGGTGTCTGTGGACTGCAGGAGGGCAGCAGTTCCCCGAGGCTGCTGGCTCCGAGCCAGACTTCACTGTCCACCCTCAAAGACTTCATTTATCACACCCTAACAACTCTGAGGACTTTTTAAAATCTCATCACAGAAAGAAAGCTGGAACATCTGGATCATCCTGTTAACGTCTTTAAACCCTAAAGATCACAAGTTTTAATTTAAATTAAACTCCTCAGGAGCCTCACATTCTGTAACACTGAAATATTAAAGTCTAACGTTCTATGGACAGATGTATGTTGCGTTCCCAACATCCTCAGTTCGTTTGTGTCAAAAAGGAAACCTGATGGTGGTCCACGCTGAGCACCGTCCCATGCTGCCAACACTGAACCAGTTTAAAGTACAAGATTTTACCACCAGGCCTGTCACATGTTGCAGTTTTTAAATGTTGGACTTGAACAGTGGTGAGAGCAGCTATGTTGTATGGTCTGGAGACAGAGACATGGACAAAAAGACAGGAGACAGAACTGGAAGAAGAAATGAAGATGTTGAGGTTCTCCTTAGGAGAGACAAGGATGGAGAAGATCAGGAATGAGATCATCAGAGGTACAGCACAGGTTGGACAACTGGGAGATAAAGTTGGGGAGGCCACACTGAGATGGTTTGGACATGTCCAGAGGAGGGACAGTGGTTTGGACATGTCCAGAGGAGGGACGATGGTTTGGACAAGTCTAGAGGAGGGACAGTGGTTTGGACATGTCCAGAGGAGGGACGGTGGTTTGGACATGTCCAGAGGAGGGACGGTGGTTTGGACAAGTCCAGAGGAGGGACGACGGTTTGGACATGTCCAGAGGAGGGACAGTGGTTTGGACATGTCCAGAGGAGAGACGGTAGTTTGGACATGTCCAGAGGAGGGACGGTGGTTTGGACAAGTCCAGAGGAGGGACGACGGTTTGGACATGTCCAGAGGAGGGACAGTGGTTTGGACATGTCCAGA